GACAACGGATGAATGAACAATGCGTTATTATCAATGTGATACCTTGAAATGCTTCCAGTATAGAGCCAATGAAGCCAGCAAGAGCGATTTCCGAACCAGTCTTCTGTTAGAGAATAACAGAGAGCGGCGATGTGATCTCGTCTTCCTTCCCCGGTCATGGTCATCCTCTTTCTTACCGGAGATAATTCGAATGTGATCTTTGTAGATTTCTCTCTCAGCAACCAGACAACACACAATCAAGACACTAGGGATAACAACAAAAACCACATGTGGAATCACCAAAACCATAACATCAGGTTGTCCAATGTATTCATGTTTCCTATCAGCGACAGAGCTCGTGACCACCCATCCCATAATAGTCATGTACGTTCTGTTTCCGAAATCAGTAAACACTTCACCGGAAAACCAAGGAAAGAATATGAGATAGAACAAGTATGCCATGTAACCAAACCAAACCACAGGAATTCTGCAGAGGTCTTGGAGAATCCACAGTACAAGTGTGATTGGTCCTTTCTTGGCAATAAACTTTTTGAGAGTGTATTGCTTCTTGAAAACAATGATCAGGCATTTCGGGATAAGAAAAATGAGAAACAAACAATATAGAGCAGACCAAAGAACGGGGTAATATAATGCCGCCCATTGGACACCCATGACACGAAACTCATTCCATGTCCATGAGACCTTAGAGCTTAGACCATTGATGGAAAATGGCCGCATTTCTGAGAAAGTTGATCGGCCTTTAATGTCAATCACTTCAATCTGCAGCCAAAATCTATCAGGTAAGGGATCTTCAAAGGCCCTATAATTCCATGGAAGTGAAAAAAATGATGCCCCAGAAGTAGAAGAATCGTCTCCATGTTTTATCATTTGAGCTTCCATGACCAGATTGTCAAATCCAGGGCTTGAGTCATAAACTCTAGCTACAACTTCAACAACCAGGGGGCGAGAAAACACAATGGCTCTAATTGCGTCATAAGATGACGAGATCATATGTTGGCATTCGTAGTTGTGACGTGCAAAGGATGTTGACATGAAACGTGAATCTAATGGAAAGGTCGGTAATATGATAGTCCTCTGGGATTTTGACTTGAAGTCAAGATCAACATATGAAACATGACCCCTATCAATGGCCATGATCCGCATTGCCCTGTTTTTTCTCCAGTCACCCATCTCCCATTCCCAGAATCCTGCAGCTGGCAAGGCTCCAAATGAGCAGTTCGTAGTACTTTCGGCACTGCTCTGCCTCATATTCAGCTGAAACAAGTCATTATCTGATAAACTGATACCACCGGAGTGATGGTTTCTTTTAAGATTCTTCCCAAACTTTGAGTGTAGATGGCCACACAAATAAGCAGAGATGGAGTGCTTCAGAAAAACATCTTTAAGGCTCTTTTGAGAATGTGACAGCGCTGAGAATGACAACGGGAAATGCCCAAATGATACTTTTGTCACAGGTTTTGCTGATTGGTTGTCCCATTGCGATAGGTGTGAGTCAAGCGAGCTCAAAAGTTCATCAGTTGGATGCCCAAAGAGATTTGTTGGGCCGCGTAACCCAATATGCATCGTGGTGTCAACCCCGACAAACAGATGTTTACGTTCACTAGTCTGTATAACAAAACATACAACTGTTAGCAAAAATATGCAATAGAGCAATGACTGGAAAAAATTTCGACCACAATAGAAAATCTTCATCTCAAGATTCATAGATAACTCATGTTTTACTTCTATTACTCAAGTATTAGACTAATGGACTTTAGAAATCGGAATAAACCAACCTCAAGAGTCACGGTGTTAACATTTTCTTTCCTTCCCATTTGTCCATTGATGCTATACTTTGAGAAGAAATCAACAGATGAACCAACAGACGGAACACCAAAGTTGTCATGGTTACCCCTAAGATCATAAAATATGGTCTTATCTAACCCACTTCTCTTCACCACATCTTGCATCACACTCTCGTATTGTAACCACTCATCTTCATTTTGCTTCATTGTTAACATGTCTTTACTTTTCCCATCTAATCAAACCAAATTAAAAAAGAATCAACTAACAATCTTCCACAAAACAGAACCAATTACCACATATAGAAGTTTACAAGTAAAATTGATCAAAGGAGCCAAAGATATATCACTCAAGCTCATCAAACAAACAAACCAACGAGAGATTGACAAATTCGAACATATGGGTTTAAAAAAAGTTGGCGATTTAGGAGAGAGACCAAACCTGTGAGATCACCGGTGATTAAGACCAGAGAAGGGTTGATCAAAGACAGAGCAGGACCCACAATGTTTCTGAAATCAAGGGCTCTCTCTGGATGATGAACACTGAAATGGAGATCGGATAATTGAACAACCCATATCAAATCTTGCCCAGCTCTCGCTTCAATCACTCTTCTTCCAGATTCATCTATCGAACCAGAAACCCTTGTCGTAGTACTCAAGGAGATGATTAACAACAGAAGAAGAATACTAAACGAGATTCTTCTCCGATGAGTAACTCTTTCCCTTCTGAGCTCGTCGTCTTCGCCGATCGATTCCATCACTTTTCTTTCTACCGAATCGGTAGCATTTGCAGCCGAATCTCTGAAATTGTGTATTGCAAAATCGTCACGCTTAACGAACTGCAAGATTGCTCCCCAAAAAGTCTACATTTTTATCATTTCTTAATTCGTTTCTTTGTCTTTGTTTTCTTTTAATTAAGATGTTTAATTAGACACTGCTTAACTTCGGTCAAATTGGGCCTTAATTATCTAATGGGCCTGCGTTTTTCTCTCATTTCTAGGATTAAAATTAAGGGAAAATTTGTCATAAATACAACAAAAAAATTATAATTTACAAACTAACCAAAAAACCTAAATTCAAAAGCCTAGATTGTGCCACATACCCCTTTTTCTCAAATTTTTAAATTTTTATTTATTTTTTGGTTATTCACCAAAAAAAAGCCCTAAAATTAAAATGTAGTTATTTTTAATCAACTAAAACGAAGCAGAAGTTGGAAATATATATATCCAATGAAAACGAAGCTTACCAGAACTTTTCTACTAATAATTCCAAGCACATTCATGTCATAGTTGACAATACCCATAATAACACAAGCATCAGAATAATTCAAAAATAGCATCAAATAATTACAAATCACAAATAATTCACTTCAAAGGAGTTTCTTCACTTTAACTTTTATTCAATCAACTTAAAAACCAGTGGTGGAGTTTTAGGTGCAGGCTTTGGACTTAACCAGAAGCAGCAACTTTATGAGTCTTCGAATGCTTCCGTTTAGCCTTCTTAGGTTCAACTCCTAACCATTGCTGGATGAGCTCAAACACTCTTTTATCCCGGAGAAGCCCGCGATGTGTACCCGAAACTCCTACACTCGCAACTGCTTTAAACTGAGCAGCCTGCAAGATAATGGAAATGTAAGGTTTTGTTGGTGAAGGTCCAGAGAAGTGGTAAGAGAGTCAGCAGCCAAATCTCAAATCATTCAAGTTCAATTCTAGATTTGCTTCAAGAAAAACTGAAAACTCGGGATGAACAAGAGAGTAGCTTACTGCGGCTGATTCAGCTGGTACGGTTCCATCTCCA